TCATCATTTTGTATTTAACTATAGTTATAGTTATAAACCGTAAACGATATTACAAACTATAATGTGACAATCATCCCTAATCAACTTCCCTCTTATCCTGTTTTGTATTATAAATTGTTTAGACGCATCAACTGTTTTCGCCTCGGGGTGACGCAGGGAACGATAAATTTACTGAAATTATTGTGATCTCGAAAATTGTACTGGAGTAATGATAAATGGTACCATTTTGTTACGCAATTAACTTGTTAAACGTCAGGTATTTTCCAGTGCTCTTTAGTTTTTTGGAGTTAATTGACGTTTACTGAATTTATAATTACATATATTACCTTTACCTTTTCATGTAGTAATGTATTTTACAAGTGTGTGCAAAAGTAGTTTTTCAGGTATTTACCAAGTAATATCTTGTTTTGCAAGATACCCTTTATAATCCTTGACAATAACTTCCTTGGTGGGTACAAATGGAGTGATTGTCCCTAAGAAAATATTACTTTTATTTAAATCAAAAACATAAAAATTTCTTATATAATATTTTTTAATATTGACGTCGTGTCCATTCCTAATTTCGGCAGAGGAAAATTTGTAATCTAATACAATACTGAAATCAAATTTTTACGTCAAATTAAAAGTTGCTCTTCACTCTTTCGTGATTTATAAGTCACCCATTTTTGAGCGGAGTTAAAGTTGTTTTATATAAAAATATTCTGTATGGGATGTTTATAAAATAATATGAATAAATACATCAATTTTAGGAAAAATAATATCTATAAGTATTAGGTTCAGTAAAATACAACTTTCGTTCGTGTTACAGGAGGCCCGTCGCCCTATTCAAGGTATAAGCGATGTTCACACTTATAACATATTTAACGATGGCGAAGAAAATGTAGGCATAAAACGGCCAATTGGTTGTCGGCCAAAAAAGGTGTGAGACAGGGTTTCATTTTGCCCCTTCACTAATTAACATATATGAAGAGTACATTATCCGGAAGACCTTTACAATGCACAGAGGCGATGAGAACTTGAAGAAACTGATCGTGGTTGGTAAAACAAAATGCAAAGATCATGTGGTCGTTCACCAACCATATGGACTGATTAAGCGACAGACCCAAAACTGTACACTGTAATAAGAGGCAGACAAAAACCGGTGGAAACAGAGAGTCTAATCCAGATGTTTCCTTGCGACGCACAGACATGAGCTACGGACTGAAGAAAGAGAGAGAGTGCTTTATATAATATTTAGGATTTTGTCAAGTTTATAACTCAATTATTTTTTTATCAAAATCAGCTCAGCAATCAATCAACAAGCCATATAGCAATACGTAAACAACAACCGATACTTCCATTAAAAAAATGAAGAATAATTCAAATGAAAACTACGTTTGTCCCTTTCAATAACGAAATCATAAATCTCTCAGATATCGTTCGACATTACTCAAACAGTGTATGCCCCCGAGGTGGCTATTAAGAAATACAAGCGAACACGTTTCGTATAGTTCCCCTCACAGTATGCACAAAACTTCTTCATCGTACTCTGCATTCAAATTACCTTAGGGAATATCCCCGTAACGTGGATGTAAAGAATTCCATCAGATTTCGATAATTCTTTTGTAACAACTTTTATATTACTTTACGAAGATTTAATAATATAATTCATATAAGTCGCTTCTTGCATTTTTTAAATTCCACTTAAAATAAAATATTGAATTTTCTTTTGGACGTCACTTGTACATTTTTAGTTAGTGTTATTCGTAATTATTATTAATGAAGTGTTGCCAATTTGAAAAAATCCTGTTTACCGGTAGGCAGAGAACTCAGTCCTCTACATGCTACGATGGTGACAAAATCTCGCTTTATCTTGAGCGAGAATCTTTCGAATTGAGCGATATTTATTTATCTCGATGCTGAAACGTTTGCTTGTCTGAGTTGTAAAATATAATTTGTATATCTAGTATTAGTATGTCCATGTCGGGATACGCCATGTAAACCTTGTATTAAGTTATTTAGTTTTGTTTCAAGACGTGCTCTTAGCGCTTCAATTGTTATGAGCTACAAAGGAATATGATTATTTTATGTTCATACGGGAATTTACAAATTAAACGAATTATGTATGTATGAGGTCTTGTAACCGTTTAATGGAGAATGGGGCAGACACATTTTTTATTTCGTTCTTATTTATCTTAAGAAGGTACCATCTATGACAGATCTCGTCACCCTTAAGACAACCAGTGAAACACACGACAAGTTATCTTTACATTTAAAACAAATAAGATCTGAAGAGTATTTTGCAGAGGGTATGTCTAGTTGTGTAATTAAAGTTTTAAATCACATCTAAGATCTTTTAAGAATCATTTAAACATTTTAAATTTATAAGACCAAAGCATATGTAGAATGTTTATCAACACCAATCTCGAATAGTACAGCTTTAAATCATTTTAGCATAGCGAATTAGCCACAGTCGTTTTTTTTATGAATAACAATGGAAAATTATACTTGCCATTGAATTCTCTGTAAACATTCAGCGATAATAATTATTGTAAAGCAATTAATTTTCAAATGGGGTCTTTTTAACCGTTCCTAGGGTCATTTAACTAAATGTATTAGCGGGGAAGGGTTGTGATCTGTGAACTGATCAAGCGTTAATGTAATGTTTTTATTTGCACGATTCGGGGGGTTACGGTTAATATCCTGATAATCATTTAGGAACTCTACCATATAAACCATTAAATAAATATTGCCTTGTTCATTTTCATTACATTCCGGGGTGATTTTATCTTAAAATAGATTAAATACAGTAAACCCCCATATAACGCGATATTTCCCCCATATAAAGCAGAGATTTCTCAAGTTATTTCTGTGATATTTTATTATGTTCTGTCAAGTCCATATTTCGTTTTGCGTGCCTTTGCACCTGTTTCAATTGTGTCGTTATAAAATTAAAATAAATAACATTCGTTTTCCTTTTAAATGGTTCAAAAAAACGGTTTTACGAGAACACATCTACGACGCCATTTCCTATTACGCGTAATACAGTAAGCCCCATATAACGCGGTAGATCCGAACCGCGTTATAGGGGGCTTACTGTATTTAGCGACGTGTATGTATATAACGCACAGTACCGCTTCAATGGGCAAGTACTTTGATTGATTTGATTTTTTTTGCTGTCGGACGCATTCGCTGTTAGCTATTTCAGTTTACTGTATTTATTTCACAATTTTTACGTTACATTGAGATCTTTTATATATTATTTAAACGTTATCTGTATATAAATCGACTTCAGACAAAAGTGTTAAAATTAATTACTCTAGACACCATAGCGTTTCTTACTTTCTGAAGCCCGAGCTTACAGTGTGTATTTAAATTTTTTAACCAAAATGCAAGTAATTACTTAAAAACGCAACTCGGGTGAGCTGAGTGCAAATATAAAGAGCGGGGTACTTCAGACCCGGCGCCGCACCGCGAGGGTTGAATTATTACGAATAAAACCTAGTAGACGTTTGAACCTGAATATTTTCAAGAGGTTATTCTGTCCAGATTTCAATACTTCTTTAAATTCTATTCATTGGCATAATGTATTATACAATCAGTTTTGAGATAAGACCTTCGCTGTTTTATATTAGTCAAAATTTTTTTTATTACATGCCTTTTTAATAGTAGTATTAATTCTTTATTTCAGAATTGCTGAACAATTATTTCATAGTTGCTATGTTAGTATTATTTAGTAAACAAAACAAAAAAACTACAAAAAAACTTTTTTTATATAACAGAAGGTTCACGTGATGTTAAGTGATACCTGAAGGCTCGCAAGTGCGTTGCCGGCCCTTTTAGGATTTGTTTATCATTCCAGAGTCTGGTTTTCATTTAAGAAATATTTTTTGAGTTTGGAATTAATCACAAAGCTATGGTAGTATAGTGGCTTAAATTTTCTCCTTTTTTATCCTAAAATTCATTCGTTAGGCTCACAACTCACAAACGGCGTATTTTAAACCCATGATGCTTTCAAGAGTTGAATTGAAATTATTTCACGTAACGAGATTTACGCTTTCTGACGCTGAATAGTATATCAATGTACGAGAGACAAAATTATCCTTCACTTATGTATGGTGAAGATGTAACGTACTAAAGCCGGTTGCAGACCGAAAACTAAGCTATGCCAAGGCTAAACTAAGCTATGCCAAGCAAGCTAGGCTAAGCTAAGCTAGAAATAAATAGCGTGCACACCAACAGCTAAGCCAAAGCTCAGTCAGTGTTGCATAGTATGTGCAAAGGGTGTGCGGTGTAGCGGGAGGGGCTTAACTTAGCTCGTGTAGCTGCGCATCGGCATACACAACTAACTTAGCTTCGCATATTTTAGTTAGCTCACATAGCTTAGTTCGCATAGTTTGCGGTCTGCACAGACGTATGGAAAATTGCGTCAGCTATGCGAGCTAAGCTAAACTAACGTAGCTTAGCTCTTGGTCTGTAACGCGTATAAATCGCGAATTCATAACATTATAAGTTTTGCTAACCACTGCTGAAAGGACTCGATAAGTATTCAATTCGCGTTCAAATCTGTTAAAGATGTTTTAAAGTTAAGTGGGAAATGGAGCATGTTTGGCCTAGTGGCTTCAGCGTGCGACTCTCATCCCTGAGGTCGTAGGTTCGATACCCGGTTGTGCACCAAATGACATTCTTTCTATGTGCGCATTTAACATTCGCTCGTACGGTGAAGGAAAACATTGAGGAATCCGGCTTGTTTTAGACCCAAAAAGCCGATGGCGTGTGTCAGGCACAGGAGGCTGATCACCTACATGCATATTAGATTGGCAAATGATCATGAAACAGATTCAGAAATATGAGGCCCAGACCTTTAAACGTTGCAGCGCCACTGATTTATTTTTAAATGGTAATTGTAGTATTACTGTTATGTTTGAATTGAGGGAAGGAAGTCTGTTGTTTTTAATTCCTTAATAATAGAAAGATCAGTATTTGGCAATACAAACAACATATTCATAAAATCTTTATAACTAAACAGCTTGAATAAAACCTAGCTTCTTATAAAAAATCAGCTCCCACCGTTTCAACTTTGCGATCGGGACATCTTTGTCCACATGTTTACTACGTTTGTACTTTCTGAGAAAATGACCATCAACTTTCACACGTTGATCACAATCACGAGTCACGCTCACTCCATTGACAGTGACAACAGCCATGTCATCTTGCATACGTGACCGTGGATAGAACATCCACCGCTTTGAGCCAAGGCCGTCGCTTTTAAGTATCTCCTGTATTCTGTCTTGGCGTTTTTTAGTTGCTAAGTATTTCGTCGTACTCTTCTTATGTTTACTAGCTGAAAAAAGAAGTTTGCTCATACATAACGCAGACAAAGAACACAGTGCATGAATATTCGTACGTGTATATGTGAAACAAATCAATTGAATTTAGTTTATAGCTGAAAAAATGTAAAACATGGTTGTACAATAAATACGTACTTAGGTTTATTATATCGGTATATTATTAATTATAACAAGTAGATGATGTCAATATATACAGAGAGAAGAGAACTATATATTAATAAAAATATATCAAAACGAAAAACGAAAAAAAAAAGAGTGGCGGAGAGTTTATTGCCAGTTCTTCTCTTCCGTTCTACAACCTTGATTTGAGAACTGGCAGTAAATGTAAAATTAGAAGCATTTAAGGAATTTTTTTTTACGTTCATAAGTGTACATTGTGTTACCTACATGAATAAATGATTTTTGACTTTTGACTTTTTGCGATCTTATAATATGTAGAATAACCTACGCGTTAGATACAAAATTCTAAAAGCGTCCAGAAAACTTGGCTCGCGCTTATTTAAGTCCCGGCGACTCCCCGATCGACCATGACTTCTACTTCTTGACCGTGATCTTGACCGTGAATGAGATCTTGATGTCCGTGATTGTGATCGGGAGTGATCTGAGACGGATGTTCTACTTCTCGAACGTGATCTGTTCGTTGCGCGTTTTGATTTAGTTTGCTTTGAGCGACTTTGTCTGAAAGAATAACTTTAATTAGAAACTTGTTTCACCACTCAAAATAACTTTTTCGTAGGAAGGGATCTTATCTTCACCATAATTTTTCTCAAGTTCATTTTAGAAACAATAATAATTTTTAATTATATTAATAATACCTTCCTAACATAAGATAATATTTTCAAGTGTATTTAATTAATTATTTATCTTTCATAAAGTTAAAAAAACGTTACCTTCTTGTGCTTTTGTCCTCATGAATTGGGCCTGCTTCGTAATAATCTCCAAAACCGTCCCCATGATCAGGAAACTGACCCTCTGACACCGCAGGGGGATATTGATTAGGATATGGGTATCTATATCCTTCCATTATTTGTCATCAGAATTTTTTGGTAAAGAAAATATTTTTAAAAATTTATTTCATTTTCGAGTTAGACTTGTGGCACTGTCAAATTTGATTTTTAAATTTAATGTCAATCCTTCATAGAGTTTTTGTTAAATTACTCGAACTTCGATTTAAATCATTTTTTAACTAATTATAATAATGATGCAGTGACGTTAAATCCACACACACATGGGCTCAGATTAGATTCGTTATTTTTTTTTATAAAAAATATTTTCTTTCTTGCGACTTTCAGTAACTGTTTTTTGCGTTTGTCACTCGCGTCGTTTGCTTTGAAGCAAGTTTTAATTGTTTTCTGAAAATTCCATTTGTGCACACGCGTGTTTTGAATGCATGACCTCAGAGTTGACGTTGAGTTGAAGACAAGATCAATACTGTTTATTTTTTCTTAATTTATTGTACGGAAAAAAACGTTATGTAATGTTTGTTATGTTTTATTATTATATTGTGCATACTTATAATAACGTAAAGAATATTTGGTGTATTTAATTATATATAATATTTTCTCACTCAATAGCTTTCCTCAAATAAACAAAACTTAGGGAAAGTAGAATGCTGAATGAATGTATATAATGAAAATATATATAATTTTTTGCTTTATTTACATAAATAATAGTAATAAAGTCATAGTATGGCAAACAGCGTAAAGCTATCACAGTGTCAAAATTCAAATCTGTACAGTGGAAGTAATACGTAGATACAATTTTCTTAACCAAGATTTAATGTAATTATGATTGATTCCGAATTTATGGAAAAATTTTATACGAATATTCAAGATCCCAAATCCAATCACCAAACTCCCCAAATTAATGATTATATCGAAGAAAAGATTTACGATTCCTTATAATTGAACCCGAATGAATCTGGACGATTAACTTCACGAATAAAAAGAAAAAGAAAGATAAATTAAGAATCGATGAATGCCTAATGGCTCCCTCCATTAGGATTTTGACTTTGATTTTGCGTGAGGGAAAATTTTTAACTACTTCCCACAGGAGTTTGTTAAGTTTACATGGACTTATGGAACTGGCAACGCACAAACTTTATCATCGAAATTTGTTATAAAAACCATTGTAATAAATAATAATAGTTGATTTTTATCAGAGTAAAAAGAGAGGACGCCCGACAGAAACCTGGGAAAATGGAATAAAAGGGATAGCGGTGAAGGATTGGAAAATTGTGGCGAGCATGTTGTTAAATATAATGACATGAACTTAATGTAATATAATGAAGTACTCGAATAAAGGCTATTTTTATTTTATTGAGTTGATTTTTATGAGACTGGACCCAACACTACACGTTGTTTGGTTGTCTGAATTTATTCATTCATACAGTGATTTTAATTATAATTTCAGATAACATAAGTCTAAGCCAATACAATTGCATAAAAATAATGAGTACTCAGTAATAAAGACTCATTATTATTATGGGTCAAACATATAATATCATAAATAAAGTATATAAACATTTTTCTAATTCACGTATATTATTTTCAACAATAGTTTTTTTTTAATTGTATCAACTAAGCTGTTTTTATTAAGCATATTTAAAAAAATAGAAGGTGTATGTAACATTATATACAAGGTCAGTTCTAGTAATTTTAATGTTATGTTTCTCTGTAGAAATCTTATTCAACTTCTCTAGCAAGCAAAGCGTATCTCCACAATTTAATGTTCAAAGAATTGTACTTTACTTTAAATATAATTATATTGGAAAATCAATTTTGATTTTCCTTGCAATACACGTTTACTAAAGTTTTTTAAAGCTTTTTTGTTTTAGTTACTGTATAACCTGCTGTCTTTCTTTATATAGATTAAAAAATAAATATGGACTATACATAGGTAATTAGTGACGGTAAATACGTACATATGTTCGTCCACAGCACGCGAATTAAATTGTATTCTAAACATTGAAAAGTCAAAACTAAAAAATCTACGCCATTTTATCGTCAAAAAATACCCTCTTATAGAAGCATCAAATAACTATGAAATGTTTTTGTCCTTAATAATGATGCATCGAACTGAAGTTGGGCATGCTTCCAGCATTGCTTACATTGGTGTCTGATTGGAGTTCACTGTCTTTCAGCAGCAGTCAAAAATTCTGCATATGATTATGCTACTTAACCGTTCCCTCAGTTCTATTTGTAATTTAGTATATATATTACTTCGTATTTAAATAAATAAAGACCGTACTTCACTGCATGTTTAAAACTTAAAATCGATTTACTCCTTACTTTTACTATTTCAGTTTACATAAGGCTAGAAACCCTATCAATCGAGTGCTTAATACCCATACAGCGTGATGGGTATCAAGTAGTCTAACCCTCAGATGTGAAGTTTTGTTCGCAGCACTTCTGTGGAGTCATTGAGACGCGAGCGATACTTTATATGCATTAAGCTCTTAGCTATTTCTGAGCTATTCCAAGGTCCACTAAAACTTTTCAGGGGCAAAAAATCGCACCGAAGATTTGGTATCTTGTTAATAATATTTATCAAGCATGTTGATGACTAGACATGACTTGTATGGGAGAAACAAGCGAGATTTATAAATACCAAATGTATATATACGTTACGGAATAGAAATCACACGCTAAGCAGTAAATTAAATAGTAATAATAGACTACTAAATATTTAATGAAATAGTTGTAGTTATAACTTTTTTTATCTAAATTACCTCTTGTCACGAGGCTGATTACTAATTTTGGAGCTAACAGGCATCGCTAGAGATGGCAAGCGGCCGGAAGGGATGACTTTGATCCCTTGGAGGACGGGACGGGCTCTGGTGTGGGTTGCTACTTGTGTGGACACGATAGCCACGTCTGACCTCCCTTGGACAAGCACAAAAGCTGGCTCAGCCGCAGAGTAGGCGGAAAATAATAAACAATTCAAATATAAGTCTTCCCTCAAACTTTGATTTTGTTCCCTTTGGAGTAGAGACGTTTAAGTGTACATGCGTTAATTAAAGATTGAAGCACCTGGTAGATAGTACCCGTGGCCCCAGAGCTCGTGCTTTCCTCACTCAACGAATTAGTATTGCAATGTAGCGAGAAAATGCTGCCAGCATTAAAGGAACACTAGCACAGAAACATTTTTTTATTAAAAATAACTATGTAGGTTAAGAATATTGTCAATACTCTAAATCTGTTGGAAATGTAATATTAAATACAAATAAAGACCTCTTGTCACGACGCTGATTACTAATTTGTGATAAATTTATGAGTAATTGTAAAATGATGATTCACAATTGATTCTAATTTAATTGTGAATTTAGTTTAGGTTTTCAAAGAAAATTAATATAAAATATTATTTAAGGTTTTAGAAACGCTTAACTTTATTTATTATCTTCTTCTTTCTTTACTTGTTTCATATAATTAAATAATCATATTTGTTATATGATCACGATAGATTATAGTTTTTTTTTTTTTTTTTTTTTTTTGAATTAAGTTATTCAGGGAAAGCCATGAGAGTGGCGCTTTCGGAATACGCCTTCTCTCATAGCTTTTATTGTTTTATTTAGTTGTTCATATATGAGTTGTTATAAAGGTCGTTATAATTATTTACGTCATCCCCTCTCCTGTTATTTTCATTATGTATTTTTTTTTTTTTTTTTTTTTTTTTTATTTATTTATTTATTTCTTTTTTTGTGGAGAGGGGAGGAATTCTTAAAAGCTAGGATAATATTTCGAAAGAATGCTTAGGATAAATTGTACATAGTAAAATTTATAAAGTAAAACTAAAGAAAACATGATTATAACATAGTTACATGGAATAAATTGGCCAAAGCGAAAACAATACACTATTTTATACAATTGAGTTAAGATGCTATTGTACAATCAAAATAAAAATAAAAGTAAAGAACAATTAGACAATTAAAACTGGGAGATAATTAGAGACAATGCATAGTATAATTGTTCAAAATAAAATTAATAAATTAAAACTAAATTATATTATGATTACATAGAATAAATTGTTCAGAGGTAGAACAATACAGCATTTTATGCAATTGAATTGAGATGCTATTATAAAATCGAAATAAAAGTAAAGATCAATTAACAATTAAAACTAGGAGATATTTAGAAAGAATGCTTAGGATAAAATGTACAAAGTAAAATTAATAAATTAAAACTAAAGAACTAAAGAAACATAGTTATCATATTATGATTACATAGAATAAATTGGCCACAGGTAGATTTTCAGTTACAGTGGGTGTTCAACTTGCAAAGAGAGAGGCTAAGTTGAATTGAAACCCTTGAGTTGTTTAATGATATAGCTAACTAATTTATTTAGTTGTTCAAGTGCCTCAGGGAAATTGATAATTTTGGTGAGGATGAGGGGGTCTAGAGGGTCAAGCCCGTAGTTGGAGCATACTATGTAGTAGTCCAGACGATCGGGCTGGAAACGGGGACAGTGATGAAGGAGGTGGGTGAACGTTTGGGGTTCGGCGTTGTTACAAGGGCAGTGGTCATCTGGGGTAATGTGAAAGCGATGTAAGTATGATTTGTGGAAGGCATGGTTAGTGAGAAATTGTGTAATAGGGAAAGTAAGTTTGGTGGCTTCTAAGAAGTTGGTAATGTCATTGTAGGTGGGAAGGAGTAGCTTAGTGTAGGTGGAACCGGGAGTGTTGTCATAATAGTTGTGGCATGAAGCGCTCAGTAGTTTTTTATGGTGGAGTTTGATGAAGGACATAGGGGTGAATGAGAAGTCGGGTTGTTTACGCAGAGTGGCAGCGGCTTTGGCGGCGACGTCTGCCAACTCGTTCCCAGGGATGCCAATATGGGCTTTGACCCACGTAAATTTGATATTTATGTTTTGGGTCTTAGCAAGGTGTAGGGAGCGGAATATGCTGACGGCTATTTTATTATGGCTATAAGGATTGGAGAGTTCAAGGAGTGCGGACTTACTGTCAGAGTGAATAGTGATTTGGGAAGGGTGATTTTTACCATTTATGATCCATTGACACACTTTGTC